AAGAGTGTGGGGGTTAACATCCCACATGGAAGGTGAAAGGTGAAGTGAGAGTTATCCCAGAACAACAGCGAAGCTATAAGCATCTCTGGGGAGTAGTTTAAGCCTGTCTTCGACAGCATTATTAGGTCAAAGATTCCCATTTCCTTCCAGACTGGAGTTTGATGTTTCTCCAACTTTGTTAGCCAAGCGACATAGTCAGAGGTCAGATTAGGGCAAGACCTAAAGACTCTAACACTTCTGTTGAAGAAGCGAAGGTCGATCTTCTCGTGTGTAGGGTCTTCGTTGTCTTCTGCATCCTTCTTAGCACAGGCTACTGGCTTGAGTTTCTCGACGATGGGAAAGTAGCTCTTGATCTTCAGAGCTTCAGAGATGCTTGGGTTCATGGGTCCAGACATTGCGAAGATTTGGTTGGAGTACCCAACCGGGATCATCAAATGACGCGAATAAGCATCGCGAACGGAGATGTCAGAAGGTTCAGGGACCCTTCGTTTCCCTGTAGCGTTCACTACCGGAGCAGTAACAAAGACCTTGGGCTTAGCAAGTTGTTCAGTTGATGCGTTAGTCTTGGGGGCAGTTGAAGCAGAGGCCATTGTTGAGGATGAAGATGAAGTTGGAAAAGGAAGAGTTTTTCTGCAAAGAGAACAAGTTTGTAAGAAAGCAAGGGAGTTTGAGAGATAGTTTGCGTGAAAAGTCCCATAGTGGGATATTCACTACTATTTATAGTAGTGGGAGAAATTCCCAATAACGAGGGCATTAAATGTCATTTAATGCTGCAGGAATTAGTGGGACGCGTGGCAGCATCCTGTTGTTTTGGCCGTTTCTGCAGAAACAGAGAGACGCAGCGTGCGTCCTCGTTTTTTGAATTTGTCATAATGACAAATTATGAAGTGATGTTTGGTTCTGCACGCCGTACTGACAGTGACGTCCTAGGATCAAATCAATGATGGTTTCTTGGGATTGCCAATAGTTGGTAAAAAGCAACAAAAAGTGCACAAGTTAACTTGTGACTAAGCGTGGAAAAAACAGGTGTCGAATGGCGTTTTCAAAGAATGCCTTTTTCTTTCAGAGTCGAAATAAGGCATTCTTGGGGGGCAATTTGTTGGCTCCTAAATTCGACACCTTTGTTTTAATTGATGGCAGCCATTAAAAGCTGAAAGATGCTTTCGACTGGCTTAGCCTGTCGAAGTGACCGTCGAAAGATGGCAAAATACTTAGAAGATTTCTTCCAAGGAAGAAGGTTGATTGCCTTCGACGTCGAAGAAGTTTTCGTCGAAGACGCTTCCTGATGAAAGTGTTCGAAGGTCCAGAGTGGAGCAGTTTGAAATTCAAAGTTTTGGAGGGAAAACGGTTTCCAGCAGTTACCACGTGCAAACGTGCAAGGATCTGGAGCGTCGAACATGGAGAACGTGACAAGTGGCTTGATCTCGAAGCAGTGTAACTGCCCGACGGTTACTTGGAATGTTTTTGTATAAATAGGAGTAGATGTGTAGTTTCTCGCGTGTGTTCACAATAGATACATAGTCACTCATTTAGATTCAAGTACCCAGTGTGAGCGAACGAATTGTTGAGAAATGTATGTGTGAAACACCAATTTAATCAATTCAAGTCATTTACTTTTCCAGTATTTTACTTGCTTTTCCCCTTTAAAATTCCTGTCGAACCTTTACATTCAAGCCTTGTTTATTTTACCAAGCCTTTCCTTTATGCAATTTACTTTAAACCATTTACTTAAAGCCTTATCCAATTTAATTAAACTTCAAAATCAACCTATGTCCATAGGATCAATCTGATCGATCCTGCGAGTAACCAAATAAGTAACCATTTGGAGGATCAGCGGTTGTTTACCAAATCCCTAGGTAAACACCTGTGAAATTAACTGAAACATATCCAACAAAAATATTCCATAATCAAATCAAATATGTCAAGATTTAAAACAATAGAGCCTCAGAGATACAACAGTTACACAATACCAGCTACATGCTAATCATGTAAACTTTGTACATGAGGAAGAAGATGGAAATTACTCCCCCTCAAACACAAAACTAATTCTAGACACAAAGAGATAAATCTCCCCCTCAAGAACACAACACATGCAACAACTACAACCATACGAAACTCAGAGCAAAAGACACAATAAATCTCATAACTCATACCACAAGACACAACAGACAATATGTTACAATATCCTAGAGGAGATCTTGCAGAAGCTACAACGAAAGTAGAACCAATAGAAGAATTAAGACAAACCAATACTCCTAAAGTGTTACATAAAGAAAACAACACTCGACTAGACTCAATAACACATTTTCTCCATTTTTTAGCCAAAACTTGACAAAAAGCATAGTGAAAAAGAACCTGACAAACTAAGAATCCATAGAAGCAAGAATTGATTTAAGACAAACAAGGAAAGACTATAGAGAAACTGACTCAACAACCTAACTTTACGCTTGATACAAGACCAATTATATCAAACTGACTCAAAAGGAAGGAAGAAATAAAAATAATAAAAACTCACCCAAAGAGAATCAACCTAAGGGTAAAAAGAAGAAAGAAATAAAAAAATGAAAAACAAGACTCCAAAAAACTGACTCAGAAAACAAATACACCTTTTTATGTTTTTCTAGTTTTTTATAATAGATAGCATATAACAACTACCTCAAACACTCAATCTTGATCATCCATTGAGTCTGAATCATGTAAGATCACATGGTTCTTCTTGAGGGACTTTATCTTGAGAGATTTTTTCCCTGTCTTGGATGTTTTAGTAGATGTCACAACATTCGTTATAGTGTTGAGCACTATTTTCAAAACCATAATCCACTTCCTTCTTGATTTATAGCAGAAGAGTTTTCTTTTGCACCAATTACTATAGAAACACAACTTGTGAGGATGGTGGATATGTAAGGCCTTTAAATACAAGGAAGGTTACTTAGGTTGTAACGAAACCTTGCTTGTAATAACATTTCCAATTAATGAAAGCTTTTATGGAGGAAGATAACCCTTACTAACAATAAACCACTCACCATAGGAGAGATACACGTTATTCTTCAGCTTTCTCTTTTTCCAAGTTTTGACTCTTTGAAAAATGTTACAACTTTGAAATGACACTTACCATGCCATCCAACATAATTCTTATGTGGTTGCACACTCCACTAGATAAAATAATATAGTTGGCAGACCGTCCAAATAGTTACTCCAATAATTCTTCAGCAGTGCAATTCCAGAGCTACCCCTTATATTCTCAATGTAACTTGGACCTCAAGTTATGGTGACAATACTAGCAGATCTTCTAAACTATACCATGTATAGGAGTGTTAATATAAAGCAGTAGCAAGGTTACTGACATAAAGATGATAAAACCAATGCCTTTGTTTTGCACACAAAATAAAATTCTTGTACCTTGATTGTAGTAGCATGCCACACTATAATGTCATGACATCCAGTTAGACGTTGTATTGTTTTAGTAACCAACCCAATATAGAAAACATCAATCTTCAGCAATGTACTTAATCTTCAAGACATACCAGGACTCAATTAATTCTAATCAGAGATCAGAATATCCTCCAATGATACAGTCTTCTTCAGACTTGGAAAATAACTTTTTACCCCAAGACTAATAATTCCATCTCTGAAACATCAGATGATCACAAACCAAGTCAATTTTCAAATAATAAACTCCCTCTTCAAAGCTTTCTTGAGAGCTTCCTTATTTAGTACCTTCTGGCCCTTTAGAATCAACCACACACTAGAGTAACAAATTGTTGTGATGATGTTCTAACATCTGGTTGAACATCAATACCTTTCTTAATGAACATTTCACTGATCTTGATCCTGAAGTTACTCATTAGTAAAAGTACTTCCCTCAATATAATAACTCAGAAACATACCTTGTTCTCAAAAAAGGAGTAGATAAGACCCTTTGAAGATATCACCAACAATATAATTTTTCATGCAATAGAAAACAATACACATAAGTTTATCCACCATGATACTCTTCATTTATTGAACAAATAAAATCCATAAAATAGGTTCTTTTAGCTTTTGCAATTGTCTAATATTGCACCTTCTAGTGTAACATCTTGACTTCTTCTTTCTTTGAACACCAAGTAAGAGAATAAACAATTAAATACTTGTGAATTTCACAAATAACAATAGTTCATAAATCCTTAAAGGGACTTCAAACATCTCATTAGAGATATAACATTCTTCCTTTATGACACAACTGAATCATTCGTTATGTAAAACCAATTACCAAAAACTTAGAGAATCCATCCTGAATTCTTTAGTTATCCAATGTCCTTAAACTTCCTTTTTAGCATCATCCATGAAGTAACATTTGATCAAAATGAGACTTAAACAAACCACCAGGAACACTTTTATTGCAATTAAGTGTATGGAACAATTAGTGTCAAAATACCAATCATCTTATTTGGAGACCTAGGAAAGGTATGAGAGAAAGGCACTAATCACCTTCCCTGAGTATTAACCACTACTTGGTTAAACCATACTGAACTTGACCTTTGAGAAAATAACTAAAAATTGTTAAAATCAACTCAACACAAAAGAGATTCTTCAGTGCAAGTTAATCCTTTTTAGCATGAGTAAGCAGAATGCCCAACAAATGTTATGACATCCTTGACTCAGCTTACCTTTTTGATAAAAACAACCTTTTGTCACTTTGAGTTTTCTCTTTGCTAATAAGCTTATAAGAAAACATATCATCCTTAAACTTCCAATCATCTTCCCTCTTGAAGAAACTCCTCCAACTGACATGGATTATCCTTACAAAAGTCGATCAAGACATCAAGCTCTAGGATTAAACAGAGTCACTTCACCTTGTAAAAACATAGATAGTAGATACTTATTCATTCTCTTAAGACATAAGTTCAAAAATAAATCACCTTCTATTTCTTCATAGTTAAAATCTCCCTTCGTTCTAGATACAAATCATAGAAACAAACTTCCAGCTCATTATGAGATAAATTTTTAGTTCAAAAACCTTAATAAGAAGTCCATCTTACATTTAAACCAGATATAGAAAACCCATACAATTGCTCTTGAGATAAGAAGTGCACTCTGCTTCCCAATGATCCAAGATCTCCACATTCATATGAATGCTTTGACATTGATCTATACACTAATTCTGGCCTTTCTTTTAGCATCACAGACATGTTGAAGTCAGCATAAATGTTATGACATGAGGTCATAACATACTATCAAATCTATTCAACTCCTGAATGGATTTCCTTCCAAAGAACATAAAAGATGTAAGAAATCAATCATCAGAAAACTGAAACAAGCTTCTACATAATTGGGAACAAAAACCATGCTCTTGCTATTTTAATATTTGTAACTTCCATGTCAAATATCTTAAATAGAGACCCGAGTATCTTCTTCTTGATTAGTCTTTCATTTGAAAAACAAACACTAAGATGCCTTTATGATGGACTTAAGAATTCCCAAGCATCTTTGACTACCAATGATAATGAGTCTGGAAAAAAAACTTATCAATTCCATTGATTATGAAATTAACACCTTCAAAGTTCCATAGAGACAACTCATTCTCTTCTCTTCAATCTCTTCAGAACCAGGAATCTCATATCTTGATAATTCTTCAAAATCTATTGTCCTTTGATAATCAGAACACAATCATTTCAGTCTTTCACAAGGAACAGTAGTACCCGATTTTTTTTCCCTGAATCTCACCCAATAGCCAGGGTTCCTACTTTGATACCAATTGAAATTCTTCTGGTACAGGAAACACATGGAGATACTTAAATTCCAACATTAGAATAATGTCAAGATTTATCATTCAAGGATGAAAGAAGAGTTGTGTGGTTTACTTGGAAATTCAAGTCACTTAAGATAATCATCACTTTTCTATTTGAATTTCAAGACTATAAAGAAGAATCTAAGTTGTGCTCATAACTTCAATTTCCTCAAAAAGGAATGTTAAAGGTTTGTAGACTACTAGACAAAAATTCCAGAGGATTTAAAAGTTACAAGTTCAACTCAAATTATGAAGGGCACTAATTGGAATTATAAGTTAAGTTCTAAACCATTCAACAAGAACAATTCAAGAGAATAATTTCCAAGGTTCCAAAGCTCCAAGGTTTCTTGAGTAAATCCTCTATAAGTTTCATAGCCTTGACTTCTTTGCATATTCAAGTCTCCCCTTCATGTAAAATTAACATACATTCATCAATACATGAAAAAACAAGAAGAAATTAAGGATGTGTTACCACATATGCATTCCAACAATAAATAACAAGGTCACTGTTAACATGTGCAATTTCAGCCCAAGAAGAATCATTCAACAATGATCAAAATTCATTCCAAAAAGTTATCACAAGTTCATAGAGTCAAAGCCCATTAAACATTTGAATTTACATCAAAATAACAACAAAAATGGAAGGAATTACTAGACCTAAATGAGGATTTTCGTTTTGGGATGTTACCGCAAAATCACCTTTCATTAGAATAAAAACCTCAGTGCATCTCAACTCACAAACAACCCTAATTATTAAAGAATATAACCATTCAATTCACACTGACATTGAGGATATTTTTTGGATACTGACAAATTTAAAAAACTTAGAGCAAATAGAAAACAAAAACTCACCTCACCGGAAATACTCAAACCATCGTGATTGGAGCTCCGACCACCTTTAGTCGCCGCCTCCCTAAGCCAAATCACCTTCATTCTTTCTTCTTTCACCTTCAAAAGGTTTCTACTCTTCCATAGATACCAGATCCACCTTTAGTTTCTTATTCTAGTGACAAGTTGTTGCTACTTTGAACAAAAACTTTTCAAACTTCATTTGTGGATCTACTCGTTTTTAAAACTTTTTTGAGAAATTAAGTTCGGATTTAGAACTGGGAGAGCAAGACGAGAAAGAAAAGTAAAAAAATTTGAAAAAAATAAGGTTCGCAGTAGCGCCGGTGCATCGACTACCGATCGCCACCGCGAACCACTCTCCCGCCACCCCTGCTCGCTTGCACTGCCACACCTTGTTCTTCTTTTGTTTATATTTGATTGTTTTGTTTGAAAAAGAAGTAAATAAGAAGATGATGAGGATGTTTAAAACGAAAGAGAGTAATGCTGGAAGAGATAATGAGGTGGGTGATTTTGATTTTATCAAAAAAATTTAATATGATACTCCGTCTCTCTCCGCGTCACTCTCTGATGGAGTTGTTTTTTTATCAATTTAAATTTCATCACATGTGGCCTATGGATTTTTGCATCCAGTTGGTGAGTTACAAGTGGCCACTGAAGCCGCTTGTCCTCACTATAGCTATAGAAATGTTGAGACTAAGTCATTGTATTGACTTGACTCGCACAGATTAAATAAAAATGGCAACCACACTTTATTGTTTCCATAGGAATGGGAAAAGAGAATAAACCCAAAAAAAGAGGGGGAGAGAATCTAGGTACGGGGGTTGGTTATGAAAAGGAAATGTATTAGCACCCTAAACATCTACGGTACTCCGCATGACCCTCTTTGAAATTTTTTATATTTTGGCTATAAATGGTGTATACAAAAATATATGGTGGAGATGAGAAAAGAAGTATTTTTTACAATTTTACACTCGTCGCGGTTGCGAACCATTAGTGTCTACGTACCACCTTACATGCGATAGAGGATCGGGGTACTCGTAGTTCACCTCAAAAAATTTAAAACACAAGTGTTATGGTTGTTTTTAAGAAAAGAGACATCATCGTCATATCCGAGTGGAAAACATACTTACTACCCACGATTATGAGAAAGAAGAATTTGCATCATCTTAAAGTGGAGGATATAGCTTGGATTTTAAAATCAACCAAGCCTCACTTAACACCCAAGTGGATAATATCTATTTTTACTACATATCATAGAAATATAGTAGCTCGCATCACTAAAAGAATCGACAAGAGTCTAATCTTTTTTAGAAAAGTTTTAAAGTAAAATGCCAAAGTAGCGAAATGGTTAGAATGAAGTTAACTGACTTTTAGTCTTCTAACAAAATATGTTAAAGTGTGATTAAATTGTTTAAAGTTTAATTAAGAAAAGACTTTTTAAAATGCATGGATCTAAGTCCAAGTTTATTATAAAAGCTGTTCAAGTTAGAAATCAAGAAGAGTTTTCGAAAAGGAGGGAGGAGATTTTTGAAATTAAAGAAGATAAGAAGAGATGAAGGTATTATCCTAAACCATAAGGTAAAAGCTAAGGAAAAGAATGATCTAACCAATAAGAATCCAACACTTGACATCATGAGTCAATATAGAATTCCCATCCTTTGGATTGAAACAAAGCAAGAAAAAATACTAAACCTCTTAGAAATACCAAGCTTCAGATGAATTAAGTCTTCACAAAAATTGGGCAGAGTAACAGTTGTATACAGAGGAATTCCCAATCACAGACAAATCACATAATCTGAAAAATCCTACACACAGAGAAAGTCAACCTAATTTCTTGGAGTAAACCCCAAGAATTTCATACAAAAATAACAAACAGTCACAAGGCCCCAAAAGTAATCAAGGCTTCTAATCCTAAGTCCAAGAGGTCCATAACTCCATTATGTTAAGGATAGTAACCAAATAATCCAAGTAGCCTTAAAGTTTTATAATGTTCAAGTTGGTTATTAAGTGTCTTCAAAAAGAAAAGAAAGTTCAAATGAGAAAAATAAAAAGGACATAAAGATAAATGCTCAAATGAGAAAAGATAAAATGACATAAAGATAAATGCTCAAGTGAGCAAAGATTAAAATAGCATAAAGTGTAAATGCTAAAGTAAATGGTGTATAAAAGTAAATGCATAAAATAAAGGGCATAAAGTAAAAGCACAAAGTAAAAGCACAAAGTAAAAAAAACACAAAGTAAAGTCAACTGTTAATGAATTAGAAGTTAGAGGTTAGTTGAATGGCCATCTTGAAACTTGCATTTGAAAACTCCTTAAAAGATTGATAAAATCAAAGCGTCTCAACAACAATTTTAATTTGCTTTTTGTAAAGTATATCATTCATTTCAAGTACTCTAGGAAAGCATATATGATCAACGATGTTTAAATGATTCATTAAGACCAAAATTCATGAAAGTTCATTAGAGAATTGCTAAGATCAAAGCCTCCTAACAATGAACCTCAAGGTTATTAGATCAAAGGTTTCAAATTAAACATACCTGGGCTTGCAATTAGAGGTTTAGGCCACAACTGATCATTTTTTCAATCAGGACGAATTTAGCGATATGTTAAGAAATCGTATGTGGACTTATGTAGAAGTCAAACATATTTTGAGGCCGGTCAGTAGCAATCTATGCACCACATGTTAGAGAAATGATATGTAGATTATTCTCCAACAACATGTAGCACAAGTAAGAATAGGATAAGATGAAGAAGGAGGGGATGTATCAGATGAAATTTAGAGTTTCAAATATCATCAACATCATTCATCCATTTTGGTGGATTTGGTTTTTTAACCTACCAACTTCCAAGTTCCAATGAGGTTGAGGAACTAGTGCCAAAATAAAACTCAAATCAGGACCAAAAAATAATAATAAAATAATACTTAATAAAATAATACTTAATAAAACAATATTTAAAATGATTAATAAAAGGGAAATAATTGGTCAAATACATAAAGTATATTAAAACACTAAATAAAAATCCTATAAAAAAGTCAGAGGTCAAACATGAGTCAGTAAGTGTTGACAAAAAATTTCAGAAGTTTTTTAAACTCAGAAACTATTTGTAAAATTAAAGAAATAAGAAAAATAAACAAAATAAAAATTAGTAAAATCAGAAATAAAAAAAATGAGGTCACCAATATTTTTCAAGAGGTCATTGGATCCTTCCATAATTTTTTTCAGAATTTAAAAATCAAGAAAAATATTTTTAAACAATTAAAACAATTCAAATAAAATGAAAAAACATTAAAAAAAATACCAAATCATAAAATAAAATTGTGAAAAAACAAGAATAAAAAATAGAAAGTCAAAAATATTTTTGAGAATTTTCTCAGAATTTTAGAAGTTGAAATGAATTTTTTTATGAATTTTCTTGAAGTTTAAAACAAATAAAACATAAAATTAGAAAATAAAATAAAACCTAAAAGATGTAGAACATTAGATCAATGTCAAAACGCGTTAGTAACCAAATCCAAGGAATCTGGTGGATTGTGCATGATATGGACATTAGTAAATAAACCATAGGATCATTTATTTAAAACAAATTTTGAAAAAATGTGTGGCGCGATATGGTTGGCTGAAGGGAAGACATGTCATCGTCTTCAACCTCCAGCCACGCGTGAATTATAGGTTCCACTAACTATAAAATTAAAAGCTCAGACCAGTGTCATTCGCTTTGTCTTGAGACGATTTCAATGGTACCCTCGCTAAAGATTTATATAAACTATAGCTCAGTGGATTCGTAGAAAACCAGAAGAAAAAAGTTGGAAAGGGATTTGAAAATTCACGAGTATAACTCATTTCCAGTTAAAAACTAATGATACGATTAGTATCAGAGTTATGAGAGCTATATTTTAGCAACAATTTTGGAGATAATTGATAGAGGAATCTACCTATTGAAGTTCAAATTCAGAGCTCTGAAACTTGACTTGGCTAGCACAATTTAGGGCACCTGAAGGATTGGTTCTTTCTCTGTTAGCTTCAGTGAAGTTCAAGGATGAAGAATCTGTAAGAACAAGATTTGGTTCTGCAATATTATCTCGGAGTTTTGATGATAACAAATGAGTATGTTTCTACGAACAATTTTGATAATATAATGTTTGTTATTCTTGAGAACTTAACAAATAGGTTCTGCTTCTGATGGATGGTGTGGCCAAGACATTGGAAGAGAATTGATTTCGCTTCTACGCTACTCAAGTTTTGTTGAATAGTAGCAAGACACTCCATAAGGATCTGGAGTGTAAGCTATGATGTTTCTCTAAAGAATCCAGTCAGAAGATCTGAAGACAAAGTTTCTACTGAAGTCTAGATGCTGAAGGCTTGTGTTTCTAATAACAAGGTTCTAAAGATAATGGTTCTGAAGACCAAGTGCTGAAGACTCTAAAAGACAAAGGGTCTAAATATTATAAAGACTTGAAGTTCTAAAGAACTAAGGTTCTAAGAAAAGGTTCTCTCAACCAAGTGTTGAAGACACTAAAGACGAAGTTCTGAAGTCTCTGAAGACTTGATGTTCTGATGACCTGATATTATGTTCTCGCTTCTAAACTCATGCTCGCAGAAGCCTCTGAAGCGCAGAAGGAAAGAAGACACCATTAACATGGTACAAATAGTACATGGTACAATCAACGTTTCATTCCACTACCATGAAAGGACGGAAACATTGCACGATCTTGTCCCCCAAGTTATTGTTCAAGCATCCAATGTTTCTGGAAATGCCAACAGTATCTCTCAATGGAAATATTATTTTATTGGCTATATAAAGGCTTGAAGACTAAGAAGAAAGCTGCCAATTCACTGAGAATTCACACGCAAACGGTTCTTTAGAAGCAACATTCTTGTAAACAAAAACTTTTATTCAAACAGTTGTTTGATATTCCTTAATGGACCGGGTAGGTTTATATCCTAAAGAAATATAGGACTTGTGAGTTTTAGAAGTTGTTAGTCACTTGCGGGTAGCTTGTGCATTGTAATAATTTGGTTGATTATTGTTTGATATTCCTTAAGGTACTGGGTAGGTTTGTAGCCTTAAGAAGTCTTTGACTTGCGAGTCTTAGAAGTTGTTAGTCACTTGCAGGTAGCTTGTGCAAATTGTAATCAATTTGGTTATAGTGAATTAAGTCCTTGATTGAGTGAGGAGAAATCACCTTGGCGGGTGGACTAGACTAGCTTGGTAAATTTCAAGTGAACTAGTATAAACATACATTGTTCTTTACTTCATGTTCTTACTTATTGTTATTATCACGAGTGAAGGAAAAAGCATTTTAACTTAAAGGGGAATATTTTTAAAAGAATATAAAAAGTTTTAATTTTTATCAACACTTAACAGTGTCCAGTACCGATCATATGTGTGTGAAAAACCAATGGATACATTTATTTCCGCTGTTGATAATAGGGATAATGATAGATATCACTATAGTTCAAAAACCTCTATGTTTGATGGGGGAGAAATTTAACTATTGCAAGGATAGGATAGGATAGAAAGTTACT